AACTGCATAATGACCGAGTTTGAAGCCGATAGCTCATAATCCCTAGGAGGAGTTCGTTAAAGTTCGACATGAGCGAAAATGAAAAATGGCCAAAAATCGCACTTTGAGCCAAAATGGCCGACTTCCTGTGGGTTTTAGGGCATACCTCCAAGAGACTTTTTTTCATGATTTTACGAGATCTACCTGTGTGCCAACTTTCAAATCTCTGGGACTTACAGTTTCCCCCAACTCACGTTAGGGGGCGCTGTGGCGTAATTTGGGGGCGGCCATTTTGGATTCCATTACAGACCGGCTATTTCACGCGGGGGACAATTTACTGCCACGTTTTCCTGAGTTTTTGAATATGCGAAGTCCCCGTAAAATGCGTTCAAAGTGCTACAAGAATCGTAATAATAATAATAATAAGAAACTTTCGAAATACAATAGGCCTTCGCAGCGCTTTGCTGCTCGGGCCTAATAATAATAATAATAATAAGAAACTTTCGAAATACAATAGGCCTTCGCAGCGCTATGCTGCTCGGGCCTAATAATAAGAAACTTTCGAAATACAATAGGCCTTCGCAGCGCTATGCTGCTCGGGCCTAATAATTAAAAATAATCATTTAATCATCATAACCTTTATTCAAATAACATAGTTAATTTTTTATATGCATTTTTATAAATTTTATAATAATTTTTTAATTATTCATTTTTTATTAGTTTTTTAATTCAATTTTATATTAATTTTATATCAATTTTATATCAATTTTATATTAATTTTATATTAATTAAGGCGGGACTTCCGGTTTAATTAAGGCGGGACTTCCGGTTTAATTAAGGCGGGACTTCCGGCTGTCACTTTGGAATGTGGGCGTGGTTTCGAGTTTGATGAAAGGTGGTGCATATAGTTTTTTATCATATCTTTGACAAACTTTCTGGAGTCCTCAATTTACAGTCAAGAAGATAAACAATTATTGACACCAAATGCTGCAAAACTATCTGAAAAAATATGAAAAAACAGAGAATAACAGAATTCAAACTAGGGCTGAAACAATCAGATTAATCAATTGTTAAAAAATCATCAAATAATTTAGTAATTGATTAATCTTTAAATAGAGTATAGAGACTCTAAAATATGCCATAAGCTGACAGAGAAACGCACTTAGAGGAGTAATTATATCAAAACCGAAAAAAAACAAAACAAACATAAAGGTTTTGCATTTAAGATGAAAAAAAAACAAACTTTTTGTCTGTATATGTGCTCTATCCTATGGAGCCCCAGAGCTGACATGGGAGAAAAAAGAGAAACCGTGTGCGTACAGAATACTAATTTGTTCCCTCAAAATACTAATTTGTTCACACAAAATATTAATGTCTTCCCACAAAACACTAATTTGTTACCACAGAATCTAGATTTTTTCCCCACAAAATATTGATTTGTTCCCACAAAACATTTGTTTTGTCAATTGTATAGAATTTTAAGACCCTTTTAAGAGAACTTGAGAACAACTTAGTGGGAACAAAATTAGTTTTTTCTGGGGACAAATTATCATTTTGTGTGAACAAATATTTTGTGGAATAGATAAATATTTCATGGTAATAAATGAGTAATTTGTGGGAACAAATTAGTATTTTGTGGGAATAGATAAATATTTAATGGTAAGAAATTAGTATTTTGTGGGAACAAATTAGTATTTTGTGGGAATAGATAAATATTTAATGGTAATAAATTAGTATTTTGTGGGAACAAATTAGTATTTTGTGCACATGCTGTATCTCTTTTTAGTCCCATGTCAGTTCTTGGGCTCCATACTATCCAGAACTCCTCGAGTGGAAAAGTTTTACCTTCCCCTGTTTAAATTTCGTAAACGATCTTCTTTAAGGAACCTTTGGCTATGTGATTATTAATCAATTAATCAGAAAAAATAATCATCAGATTAATCATTTTGCAAAATAATCGTTAATTGTAGCCCTAATTCACACATATAACGTGAAGTCATCATTGCTTCAGTAGGTCTAACAACTATGATTAGAAGTTAATGTCCTAACAAAATTGATAAATGATGATCAACAATCTTTGAAATAAGAGTCATTCCAAGAAATACCCTGTATTACAAATATATATCCTTTCCAACAGAGAAATACTCATAATTCTGTCCTCTTTTCCTTTACTTCTAATCATAACCAAGTTCCAAATTAAAGCTTCAATTAAGTCAGGACAGTAAGCACAGACCGACCCCAGTGAAATGATTTATTTTACAAATAGGAATCCACAGTGACAAAACCAGAACAGCTACATAAAGGAGGTAACTCTGATAGACTGCAGCCATGACAAGATGTCAATCAGAGGCAGAGAAAAGCAGAAAGTCTCCACAGCAAAAACTAGCTTTCCATTTTCTTTTGTGTTTTTTTTCTTCCTGTGGAAATAAGCAGCAAAGCAGACAGGACATTTTGAGGCTACGACATCATGAACCCTTAATTTTTCCGGTGAAAATATATGTTTTTTTTTTCTTTTTCAATAATTCACTTTCCTTGTGAATGAAAGCACATGCAGAAGAGAAAACGGGGGAAATACACAGACAAATTCACAAACATATAAAAATATGCCATATGATTTATACCAACAATTGAGGCCCGTGAGTGCACTATTTACAGAAATTAAGTAGTATATACCAATATTTACATCACTAAGACTCAGTTCACATGTAGTTACGTACAAGTCAGTGAGAGTTATTTTAAAGATGGGATCATACCAATTATTACTACTTACCTCCTTCTTTTAAACCTGTTCAGAGTGCGATGGATAGAGATTATTCATACCTTCATATTTAGGATCTAAAGTTTAATAAGGAGACTAAGTATTTCCACTTAACTTAGTTCAAACATCCTCCCCGGGAACAGCGTTTTATAAAGTGGTGTTACTTCAAAAAAACATTTGAATTTAATTTGAAATTAAGCTAAAAAAATCTTCACTACAACCGCAATGCAAAATCTGCCAAAACTACAGTTCTTATCAGAGAACAGGAGAACAAAAAAACACCTATGAGGTTTTTTTTTTGGCGAGATTCAACTAAAAGAAAAGTATGTGTACGTCCTACAGCCAGCATAAATGTACAGCTTTTTTTTTTTTCCAACTGGCTGCATTTACACAGAAAAAGCACAAAACATTTAAGACTGATTCATGCAATTCATAAAAATAAAAAAAAAACAGCTTTTTTTTTTTTAAACTAAATGACAAATAGAGATGCTTTATGGATTGTTCTAGAAAAGGAATGTCTGCACAGGGAAGGAGAAAAGCTTTCAGTAATACTGGAGCTACAATCATTGGGGTGATCAGAATAGCTTTGCTCAACACAATACATGAACCAACAAAGAGGTCAGAAAGCCAAAAAAAAAAGGCCTCTACGTTTTTTTTGTTTTCGCTAAACAACAAATGCACTTACGGAAAAGAATGCACACCTATGATAACACGTTAGGTAGAGGCTATAACAGCAGCTTGCTGATCCTCTCAGTTATTTCACAGGGAGAAAGAACTCAGGTGTATTGGGAAGCGGGAATGCTGAGGTGTGGAGCCCAGATGGCTGATAAAGTGCAATGAGGTTTTCTAGGCTTTGAGAGATCTAAGACAATCACTGCTTAACCTCCAAAGCCTGCGGCTAACTCCTAAGTGTGTCTGTAAGGGCAAGAAATAAAGGACAGCTGACTTTTACTTATGTGTGTGTGTAAAATGGTTTAACCTTTAGCCTTCTGAAGGCACGTGAAGGCACTAATCATTCATCCTACTGGCAAACTATCATGGTTGTGAATACCAGGTGTGAATACCGGGTCAAATACATGAAATGGAGCAACTATGAAGCCCATTTGGCACACATATAGGCCTCAGAGTGACTGTGCTTGGGCAATCCAAAAAGGCTGCTTACTGATACTGTTCAAGGCAAAGTTTTAGGACTGTAACAAAATCATTTTTAATCTAGTCAAATCAACAGGAACTCTCTGTTGTGTGTTGTTTTGAACAATGGAGGAACGGCCTTAGCTAAACTGGACCTTATATACTCTCATAGCCAAGTTTCGGCTTTTGTGTTCATTATTTCATACAGAAAAAAGTGAAAGCTACATTTTCTATAAATTAAGTGCTGTAAAAGAAGGCGCTAATATTAAAAGCATAAATACTGTACACTATTGTCTTCCTGCATACTGCAGCTTTGCGTCATCTATGAAGAGACTCCGTTCAGACGTGACAGAACTTCAGCTGACTGATTTTCTCATGGCCATAAAATATTGTTAAAGCAGACAAGGCTTTGGTATGACTGTGTTAAGGAAGAATGCACTTTTCTCCCTTCCTAGGTGGACACAATTAAAACTGTCGGCAAAACTGAAAATGAATGAGCAAACCAAACATAATTATCTGCAACTATCATATTATATGTTCTTTGTGTTGTTTAATAAGGCTGTGCATTATAAATGTGCAATGTCATACTGTTAAAAAAACAAAAAAAAAAACAACAGAAAATAAAGTTCCTCTTACTTATGCGCCCTCTGCTGGAGCGAAGATGACATTGGCAGTTTCACGACTATGACCAGCCACTGTGCAACAGAGATCATCACCACCTCAATAGAATCAGAAAAAATCTGACCTTACGTCTCACCTTAAGGCTAGAATTTCTGCTGAAAAAATAATACTAAAATAAAATATATATTTATACATAGCAAGGAATTTCAAACTACTGTTTTGAGTTATGTTACATTTCATGTACATTATTATCTCTGATCTTCATCTGAAGGCTTCTTGACTTAAATTAAAAAGAAAAAAAAATGTGAATCCAAGTATTTCAAGCTCCAATAAACAGAATTCAAAGAACATGCAATGCCTTATTAGTCACATCACATTACTGAAATCCTCTTTTATTGTGTGCACTGACATCCTGAAGACTCCAGGTCTGCTTGCGTGAGTTTTTTTATTGGTCCTCAGTTTGAAAACAAGTCAGTCTATACAACTTTAAATTAGAACTTCTAGTCTTTTTCTGTGCTTCAAAAAAACTTGAAACCAATCGGATAAAAAAACAACAAACAGGCAAAGCCATGCACACCATCGAGGACACAACAAAAATTGTGGGTTTGATGTGGTGAAATTCATTCATAAATCCAGGTTTGGAGCTTACAGCCATGTAACGCACAGAGACGTAGACCAAGCGGAACGTCTACAGAACGAAACACCAAGAAGTGCAGGGAGGAGATGTGTCAGACTCTTGAGTTCGATTGTCTCAGACTCTCCAAAGCAACAGGTGGTTGGTGCTGTCGTCTCTGCCAACGGTTTCACTACTGCTGGTCAGTCTGAAGTCCTCATAGCCATCTCCGCCAGAAATGACCAGATGATTTGTCTTCGCAGGGATGTGGGTCGAGGCTCTGCGGTGTGTGGAGTCGCGTCTCTGGAGGCTCCCATCGTCTATGCTGCTCCTCTGAGAGTTATTGCCTAGAGTCCAGACACACCAGGGTTATGCTTTGTTTAAATATTTGTAACACTTTAGTAAAGCAACAAGCAAAATCAGAAGAAATGAAGGTTTTTGCAATGATAAGAAAAATAAGTCAGGACCTGCAGTGTCTGTAGTTGTTGAAGGGAAGTTCATGTTGAACCCTTCTGGTAGTTCGATAGAAGTCAGGAAGCGAACGTGCCCCGTGTGTCCGTGAGCCGATCCCATTGGAGCCAGAGGTGACCTCAGAGTACCAGCAACAGTTCCTAAGCTTACCATTGGGATCGGCAGCGTGAGTACCACCCCTGAAGAAGAACATTTTAAATGTTTTCTCTTTGAAAATCCAAGCCTAAATCTTACATTTGTTGAATTTAAAAACAGTTACAACACTAAAAATTACACAATAAAATCTTTGTCCTTTATTTGAATTTCTTTTCTGGGTGTTATTGTGTTTAATACAGAATTTAGTTTTTTGGTTTTCTATTGTTCCCGTTTTCTTTCTGTATTCATTGTACTTTTAAAGGTTCCATATTATTCTATGTTTAAAATAAAAAATATATATTAACAATGAGTTCCCCAGAGCATGTTTCTGTAATTTGTACAAGAAAGTTCTTCTCAGATTAACCATACAGCCTTTATCTACAATCTCCTTATTCAGCCCGTCTCTAAACAAGCTGTTTTGGCCTTCCACACCCTGTCCTCCCGAAAGCAGCTCCTAAACAACCGGCAACCATGACAACCAGGAGCACAGAATAAAACATAATACAGATGAAGGCCATAGCTTGACCAATGGGCTCCTACAGACAGCTCTAGACAGCTTATTTCCCCCGATGACATCATGAGGGGAACGATTTCAAACAGAGGATTTTGAGCACATATTAGCTAAGAGGTGGAGAAAGGCAGTGAGAGAGGGCAAATGTTTTTTTTTTTGTGAACCTCATACACAGACTTCAGGACACATATGACTATTAAAAAAGTTTATAAAGTAAATATTTACATATGAGACCTTTAATCTTATAGTACTGCAGTACTACTGCAGTTTTTTAGGCAAATCTGTATTCTCACCTGCACTGGTGCCAATCCATAGCAGATCCTTACAGGCCAATAAGGCAGTGATCCTGAGGCAGGCAGCTTTGTGCTGTCTGATGATTGCATCTGCACCTGAATAAGAAGGGGTAAGAAAAGACAGGGTGGTGGGTCAGAACAAAACCATAAGTTAACTTATTCTGCATCCTTTCCTAAAAAAGAAGCCATATTCAGTCAGTATTTTACTGGGTATTCAAAGAATATTTCAACTTTAATGTATTTTATTATTATTCCTTTGAATTTCACATGATAGATCATGAGATGTACTGTCTAGATGTAAAAATTAACAAAAACTGGTTCTGATTTGTTAAAAATAAAACTCTGAATATAGATGACATTCGGGATGTCTTTACCTTTATTTTCAACTGGTCCAAGTTCAGTTAGATTGAGCAACTGATAAAACAGGCTATTAATTCTTCAGACATTATTTAATTTAGGTTTGGACTTTGACTAGATCACAGAAAAAATGAATAAATTGATCTAAACCATGCTGTTGTAGCTCTGAGTCCTTTAGTCCCCATCAACATTAAGTTAACAGGGCACTCTGGAGTGCTGTTAAGTATGCTGACTAGCCCTGAGTGTACCCCGCTTCTAATCAGCCTGTCAGCTACTTCAGCCATGCTAAAAAAAAAAAAAAATGTTCCCATAAAATTCAGTGGAAACCCATCCCAATGGCATGATGCATATTTCTCTCCTATTCTAACCGTTCATTTTGTCCTTTGGTTAGAGGCTTCTCAACTAAAACCAAAGAACACAGACCATACTTATGTCACATAAGAGCCCAAGGAAATGCATCTAAGATTGTGGTTCAACAGTGACGAAACCTGAAAAAGCTCATGTTTTTGGCAAACCACTGTGTACAGCTGACACCCTCAGTTTAACCTCAGAAGGTGTGCATGCTCACCTGCAAGCATTTTGTGCACGGCTGGAGCCACGTCAATCTCCGTCAGGCTCTCCCAGGTCTGAGCATGGTACAGCCTGACCTGTGCACTGCCCTGCAGCGCCAGCCACACACCTTGACCATAAACCACCATGCATGTAACGCAGCGATTGCTGTCAGTGCCGACCTGGAACCAGTGCTAGAAAGGACAGAGGAAAGCAAAGGTCAAACTATTGATCCATGAATCCATTTTTCTAAAGCGCTGCTTAACTTACCTCCTGTACCAGTGTAGTAGTGTTGATAATAAGAACTCTGTTCTGGGAGCCACACCAGAGTTTCCCTCCAACTGGAACCATTTTGGTAACTGGACTACTGGGTGTACCAAGAACTAAGGTCTGGGAAGACTGAGGATCCCAGAAACTACCTGGAGATTCAGATGGAAAAAAAAAAAAAGAAAAGAATTACCTTTAAAAAATCTCAAATCTCAAATCTGTTTAATATTTCTTTCACTGGTTAGTTTTAAACTTTAGCTCACCTGCCTCTCTTTGATAGACGATCACCTCACCGTTTGCTAATGATACAAACACTTTGTTGTCTAAATACCTGACATAGAAGGAAAAAAAATGTTTGCAAGAACCTTTTAAGAAAATAAAATACATTATGCAGCTTTAAAATTACTTTTCTAAATGTTTAATCAAAACAAAAGCTCAAAAAGACATTTGCATTAAAGATTCAATAGCTGTGAGTTTAAAGGCAGGCTTACAGTATACAGAGGATGGAGGCAGAATGCTGCATCTTCATGCTGTTTTTACGGTTTCGGATATTGTCTGAGGATTGGTATACATGGATGCTGAAACAGACAGAGATGCTATAATTAATCAAAGGATGGGGTAAAGCAACCTGTCCCGTCTTGCCAAATGTTCCCTTGAGATATGCAGCAGCCTTCCCTGTGGACCTACATGGATCAATGGGTATAGGCAGTGGTTGGATGGTTGTAATTAGTTAAGAACAGAACTTAAAATCAAAATTTCATGTCAAATTTGTAAATTCTTCAAACTCAGGTTGCAGCACTAAATACTTTATACAAATCTGTATATATATAAACTAAATATAAACTACAGAAGAAAATCTTTAAATATGAAGCCTAAAAATAAACAGATACTCGGATAAAGATTACAAGCCAGGTAGGAAAGAAGGAAGTAGAGAACGTGAGTAAATGAGGGAAATTTTACTTATGTAAAAAGCTTTCACAGATTCAATCACTGTGCTTCACAAAACACATACAAATATATCAGACATCTCATCAATTGAACACCAAATTTTTGAGTAATTAGAGGAATCTACACGATGTAGAAACAACATGGAAGACTGAGGGGAGTGATGTGCTTCATTATTTATTGTTGTAAACACTACATCATCCTGCACCCAAAAAAAATAAAAAAATGAAAGACTTGAGGAAGAGAGATGACATTTAACTTTAAAAGGGAATAAGGAAAATAACCGTTTAATTGTCCTACCATCCATCTTCTGTGCCAAGCCACACGGAGCTCTGATAGGCCTCCGGGTCGATACTCAGCAGATCCTCCAGACTCGCTCTGGTGAAGGACCCCCGTGAGGATCGCCGCATAGCCCGGCCGTCCATAGGGCTCTCTGTGTGGGCACGACTCCCTCCTCCTACTCCCAGCATCCCTGGAGCACCAAAGGAGCTTGGGACAGGAAACTCCTGCTCCTCCTCGCTGCTGGTGGTCTCTGTGGCCATGTCTTTGGAGCTCAGACCCTCATCATCTTAGGGAGATGAATGCAGGACAATATGATGAAGTGGTAAATCTGATGGTTTAACTACCTAAACCCAAAAAAAACAATTACTCACTGCCATAGCTGGAGGATATGGTGGAGTGACTGGCCTGACTCTGCAAAGTTGAAGAAGGACTAGGTGAATCCTCATCGTCTGAGTCATCGCTGTCAAAGGGAACAAGCTCGGCCCCTGGTCCTAATAGATAAACAACAGACTAGATGATTGTTTTTCTGTTTTTATATGTAACATTGGAGCAGATACTTTTAAAATTCACGCCGAGTTGCCATAATTTTAAAGACTCAAAGGTCAAATTCAAGCAGAGTAGATTTTTCAATTCTTATTAGCAACCTGTTAAGTTTATAGGTTGAATGATCCCAAATTAAGCTGTTTTAAAACATAAAAAACCCCTCAGATTTAATAAATTACCTTAAGGCTAGATCACATTTTTTTTTGTCATTTGAACAGGTGTTCTAAAACATATTGTATTTGGCCCCAACAAGGCATACAGAAAAACTGTTGATTTTCTCCAGTCCCTATTTCAGTGTTGCTGGGACTAAGAACCAGTGAACACATCTGGCTATTGTAAGGTAAGATGATTTTTGCTAAATACTTACTTACAAACTTGCTTTATTCAAACATTTTTAAAGTAAATAAATATTGAATTTAAAAAACAGATTTAACATAAATATGCAAGTACAGTAAAATGTATCCAGCTTTAGAAACTGTTCCTTTTTGTTCAGCTCCTTGAGCCAAAATGTATTTAAATAAAAGTTAGCTTCCCCTCCCTTCCAATTCTGTGCTTTATTCACTTGTTAAATGAAATTGTAAACTACCCCTGAAAACATAATAGAAACAAAAGATGCAGATCCAGCCTAGATATATGTTTTGTGGTCAACAAATGACTTCAATTTCTGCAATTGTTTTCACTTAAACCATGAAGTACGAGTTGGTCAATGTGGAAAACATTTGAGGCTTGAATAAAAGTATTTAAAAACTAGATTTTGTTCACATTATAGGAAAAATAAGGTCACTAAGTTGGCAAATGAATTGTGTTTTTTTTTACATCTAAGCGGCAAACTAATGAATTTCATGCATTTATTTGATTAATCTTACCATAGACTGTGAATTTATAAAAGTCTTAAGGTATTAATGTATTATAATCAACTCAAACAAGCAGTATACCGGTAATTCAAACAGGCTCTATGCAGCTTGCAGCAGGTGTCTGTGGGAGGAGCTGACCTGTAGGCTGCTCTGTCAGCTCCAGAGTAGAAGGTGAGATCGAGATGTTGAGCTGCTGTTGGGGGTGACTGGGAGGTCCGGAGGTTGGAGCAGGTTCCGACACACGATCCCTGAGAAATCAACATGAATAAAGCTTTACATCTGAATGCACATATTTCTGATTTTATTTGAAATAAGGGCCATAACATTGGCCATATATTACAAAGAAATGTAGTTAATTTTTCAGAGTTTTTTCACAGTGCAAAAACCTAGCACCATCTTTAAAGATGTACATGTACAGTTTTGTGAGTGCAGCTCTATGTTTGTTGATCTGATGCATGTTTTAGCCCAAACATTTAATTTAGGGCTTGAAATGTTTGGGCATATTTGCACCCTGCTGCAGAAAAAAAGGCTTTTCATGTGCAGGCAACATTGAAGGTATAGAAATGGCCTTACAACAAAATTTAAAGATAAATGCAATTAATCTTTAAATAATGTATATTTATAAAGTCAGGGTTATAAATCCAATGTTCAGAAGTTGTTCTACTCTTTACCTTCTTAAGCTCTTTGTTTCAGCCCTGAAGTTTACTAAAGGTTTTGAGCCTGTGAACTCTGGAGCAAATGGTAGAATGTTGATTTTGTGCCTGATGAACAATTTTTGGCCAGATTATGCTCAATGTTTTATATGATTATCCTATTGAAAGACCTACTAATTCGAATTTAGTTAATCCAATTTTGAATTTTGCACATAAAGCCTGAAGGACAATGAGCCCAGAGCACCATGTTTAAGACACACTGAAATAAGAGATATAAAATAAAATAAAAAAAGAAGCAGAGCCAGCTCTGATAGGTTCCAATTAAAATCTAAAATCTTATAAGCTTAGCTTAAAACAGCAAAAAAAAGCCACTGCTTTTCTCATCATGGTGTTAGCCATGAGGTGATCAAATTTATTAAACTGGACAAAAAACAGTTACCCTCAAAGCCATGAAGCTTAGTAAATAACCCCCATTCATATGTTCTCAGTCTCTGTTATCAAACTCTGCCTATTTCTGTAAGCCAGCTTCAGAATGCTGGACCTTCTGCATCTTTCCACTATTGCATTATTATAAGAAGAAAAGAAGTTGTTTTGCCTTTAAGTGTTCATGAAAAACATGCTAAACTACTAGAAGTTCCCGTCAACTGGAGCTGACGTCAGATTTGCCAAAAGACAGAACAGCAACGCAACAGCAGAGGGGGCATTTATCATGCGCACAAAGAATGAGGAGAGCAAAATGCGGTAAATTAGGTAGAAGACATGTCATCTATATTTTTTGTTTCCTCATCTTCCCGGCAAGCCCACCCTTAAAACTATCTATTAAGTTACCACTTGCTTATTTCACTGTGCAGATTTCTGCACCTGAAAAACAAAAAGATAAAATCATGTCTGTTTTTCATACTTATTAAAGCCCATCCAAACCCTGACCAATCATATACAGTAGGTAAAATACATATTGAACACGCCACCATATTTCTCAGAAAACATATTTCTAGAGGTGCTATTGACATAACATTTTCACCAGATGTCAGTAACAATCCATGCAATCCACACATACAAAGAAAGCAAACCATAGATGTCCAGAAATGTAATTATGTGTAATAATATGGAATGGTATAGGGAAAAATTTTGAACATGTGAAGAAAGGGAAGTTCAAAAAGGCATGAAAAGCCAAGACAGCAGCTGAAACCACTCAGTAATTAGAAAGCAATCCTTGCCTTTGTCAGTTTAAATTAATATCAGCTGGTTCAGTCCCAAATGATGGCCTATAGAAAGGTTTCTCTGGTATCACACGAGAAATATCTGATAATGGATAAAAGTAAAGAGCTGTCTCAAGACCTTCGCAACCTTAATGATGGCATCAGTTACAGAAGGATTTCTTAAATTCTGAATGTTCCATTGAGCACTGTTGGCAGAATAATCTGAGAGTGGAAAGAACATTATCTTACTATAAACGGACCACGACCAGGTACTCTTCGCCAGATTTCTGACAGAGGGGTGAAAATAATTATCAGAAGAGTTGTCCAAGAGCCAAAGACAACTTGTGGAGAGCTTCAGAAAGACCCAGAATTAGCAGGTACAATTGTTTCAAAGAAAACAATAAGTAATGGATTCAACCGCCACGACCTGTATGCACCCTCACCATGCAAGACTCCATTGCTGAAGAAAAAGCATGCTGAAGCTTGTTTAAAGTTTGCTGCACAATATTTAGCCAAGTCTGTGAAATAATAGGAGAATGTAGTCCTGTCAGATGAGACAACATTGTAACTCTTTGGATGCCATAATACACATCATGTTTGGAGGTCAGATTGCACAGCACATCACCCCAAAAACACCATACCAACAGTGAAGTTTGGAGGTGGTAACATCATGATATGGGGCTGTTTCTCACCATATGGTACTGGCAAACTTCAAATGATTGAAGGAAGGATGAAAATAAAAATGTACAGAAACATTCTTGATACAAATCTGCTGCCACCTACCAGGATGATGAAGTTGAAATGTGGGTGAACATTTCAGCAAGACACTGACCTCAAACACACAGCTAAGGAAACTCTCAATTGGTTTCAGAGAAAGAAAATAACCCGACTTGAATCAAATAGAAAAGCTATGGAAAGAGCTAAAGATCAGAGTTCATAGAGGACGCCCACAAAACCTTCAAGATTTGAAGACCGTTTGTGTGGAAGAATGGGCCAAAATCACACCTGGGCAATGCATGCAACTAATTTCTCCATTCAGCCGGCGTCTTGGAGCTGTCATTGCCAATAAAAGCTTTTGTACAAAGTATTAAATACATTTCAGACATCTATAATTAGATGTCTTTGTATGTGTGAATTGCATGAATTGTTACCGACATATGGTGAAAATGTCGTGTCAATAGCAGCTCAAGGAATATATTTGCTGGGAAAAATTGAGGTGTGTTCAATACTTATTTTACCCGTTGTACATCTGTTGTAAGACACTCTGCAAGGAAAAACAAGTTCTGCCCACAGGATGTATATGGAGAACAAGAAGTGAGGATGGCTAGGATGAATATTTTGCTCTCGCAGATGTAGGAACAACAACTTTCTTGCAGAAGTTTCTTGCTTCTCAAGGAGTATGTTATGGCCTTAATGCAGAAACTGTCTTTCTTTTTTATGGATCCACTTTCACATTGCCCTAATCACAGACTCCTAATAATTCTGACAGCAGTTGCAGAACTCAGCATGCTGACCCCAATACTCCCATCATTGCTGATTTAGGGATATTTTCCCCACTAAATAAATAATCGCAAATGACTTTGAATGTCACGAAAATAATCAGTGTCAGTTTCAACTATCTCTAGAAAATGGTGACTTGCCAATAAATGTTCCTGGCACTAGATAGTAATGAACTTTGTGGATTTAGATGATATTAAGTAAAACACGAGAAAATAAAAGCAGGTCTTAGTGACTAAACAGCAACTGTTTTGGGGTTACTTTTGGTGTAGGTAGTTATAACAGCACACCAACCTTCCCTTCAGTCCTGGAACCGCAGCGATACAGATGATCCTGGCTGAGCAGACAGCGATGCAGGCCTCCACTGTGGGCTCATCTTTTATATTCAACAAGCAAACCTAAAGCAAAGACATCCCATCCATCAAACTGGCTGCAAAACCAATGCAAAAAGAATTTAAGGATAATCATATTTCGGGTCCGCTCACCTGACCCACGTATCCGTCGCTGTTACACACCCAAACTTCACAGCCACTGTCAGGACAGCTGTGGCTCGGCGAAGCACAAGAAAACTGCAGACAAAACAAATATATTTTATGTATAACTGTTATCTATCATTTTCATCATGTTTGAAGTTTTTTTTTTTATCATCAATTGACAATTCAGCTCTAACAACACTGGGAAAATCAGAACATGGACAAACAAACAGAGAAGAGCTTCTTTGTTGTGTGTAAAAAATCAAAATTCACCTGCATCCCACTGCGGGTCTTCATAATAGGGATAGCCTTTAGGAATTCTGGATCCCACTGGTCCTTGTTCATAGCTAAAAGCACAGAGAAGAAAAATCAGGAAGGATATAACGAAGCCAGTAGATCTAAGTTAGTCAGACTCATTTAGACTAAAGAATACAGTAATTTAATATAAAAAACACTTTTTTTCTAAGATTTATTACGCTTATTATGTTGATATCTGTTAATTGGAACAATCAAATCCCATTCAGCTTGATTCTTTTAACACTATACATTTCTGTCACTGACCCAGCTTCTTCTTGGCATCTTCAAAGGCCTGTTCGAAGCTTGAGCGAGCGTCAGGAGAGCTGAACTCAAAAACGAAGGTGCTCTCAGCGGAGACTGTGGTGAACTCCAGTTTTGTTGGCAGGAAAGTCATGCTGAAGGCCAAAGACTGTTTCTCTGAGAGCTCTTTGTGCACAGATGCCATCAGATCTTTAATGGCCTCATCTAGGGACTGAGATAAGCAAATTAAAAGATGGAGAGGTTAGGGAAAATTAAAAAACACTCTGCATTTAGAAAACCATCTTTAGTAAATATATAAATTAATAAAGAAAAAACAACACACTAAGAATGAACACCACACATGGACGGCAAGGGTAGCTGGTCAATTTGTTAATTGCGTAAAGATGTTAATGCATGTTACTTCAAATATCTAAAAATAAATTATTTGAGGCTAGAAACATTGATAAGCCAGGAAGTGGCCAGCTCTTACTATTGAGTACTAGTAATTGTAAAGCAAACATCTGGCATTTGGACAATTTTTGAATTTCCAAATCCCCCACTAATAATCAGTTGTTGTTTTTTACTGATAAATTTTGAGTCGTTTTCTACTGCCAATTTTCAGGAAAAAAAACAGACGGCTAACAATATTTACTGAAACTCAGCTTTTCTCTCATGAGCTTTTGGACATATTAAGAAAAATACATTTTTCAATTATTAAAAAAAATCCTTTCAGAGCAAGACAGAAATAGCCACTGATGCATTAGAACAACAATAAGTTGATGTTTGTCTCAAAAGTAGAAATTGGTTTATCGCTATGGAGACGTTAATTTATCAAAGGTATGACTCAGAGTAAGAAAACACGTATCACATCCAGGTAATATATAAAAACACTCCCTTTCTATGAGCATTTATTTAGAAAAATTGAAAATTTTATATTTTATAAATATTTCTTATTCATGGTTTTAATCCTTAGTCTCTTTAATTATACACTGCAAAAAAGAAATCTGTATAAGCCATTTTCTCTTAAAATAAATGCATTTTTCTTGAATTGAGGAGGTAAGTGAGAGAATTTGTCATTGGAACGAGACAATTTACATTTAAAATAAGAAAAACAACTGTGTTGTCTTATTTCAAGACCATATTATCCAATTATCTTGTTTTAAGAGTAAATAGAGTAATTCCATTGGCAAATCATCATATTAACCTGCTCAAATTAAGGGTAAACCAACTTAAATTAAGAAATTCTGACAATTACTCTGGTGTGTAATTGTACCCCATGCTTACAAAAAAAATAAACAGAGTAAGAACAGCTTTTTGAATGTTTTTTTGTCTTCAAAAACAACAGGAAAATAAAAATGATGCTTTTAGACTAAATGTCTTTGTCTTGGGCAGGAATTAAATGAAAATAAACGTCATACTTCAGGACAATATGCGTATTCTGTTTCTGGAAAGTACCTGATGAGGGAAGCTGAGGGTCTCTGATAGTTTGCTGATCTGACCCAGAGTGCTGAGATCCTCATCTAATCGGCTGATCATCTTCTGGATGCTCTCTCTGTTGGTCGCCTGAGAAGAACCTTTAAGAGATGAGAAGAGAAGCCAAAAATCTGTTACTCAAATAACGGCAAAAACGGGAGAAAAAACTTTATTTACACAGGAATGACAAAAAAATAATCAATGTTTTTATGTTTCTTCATATATACAACAACATAATGTATGGATATCAAAATAATAAAGAAAAACTCCTACTTTTCACCACCTCCACGTCCTCGAGAGGAAGTTTCCACAAGAATTTGTATTTACTGGACGTATCAATCACACTTGCAGCCGAATATCTGAAAGTGGAAAATGAGAGAAGCACAAAAATGCTAAATTATTTTTGGAACACCAGGGGGCAGTGTGCTTTAAAGTCGGGGCCATATTCTTGTTGCATACAGGCTCATGGAGCTGCGCCTTAATGAGCCGGACTTCCTCTTGAGAGTGGTGCAGATGATCAGATCGCTGAAGAGGAACAGGGATCTGTCTTTCTTCCCCCCTACGGTTTTCTACAGAGAGACAGGAGCAGCTCAGATATTCTGGACCACTTCCCTTCAGAACTATTTGTTTGATGCTTTTATCTTTATTCCTTTCACGAATTTCACTCGTTTCTTACCGCCTCCATGACTATTTCCTGTCTCAAGAACTTCCTCTGTGGATTGAAAATCTGAAACAAACATCATACATTGCTGTCAAATAACAAAAGATACCAACTGATATTACAGATCAAACCAGTTCTAGTTCATGTTTTTGGCCTCATTAACAGTAAACCAGAAGCAAAAAAGAAGATTTTCATTCTATTCCGCCTCATCTCACATGTTCCACTCCCTCTATGTGCGCCTCGATCTCCTGGATAACCCTGGCCTCCCTCTCTGCTTCCTCGGCGGACCGACGTCCCTTGTTGATTTTTTCCGCCAGTCGCTTGATGTCCCTCTGAGCGTCCAGCAACAAGGGATGATCCGGATGATCCTCCGGCGTGTGTTTCAACAAGTCCTTTATCAAGCAAGGCAAACACATCAATCTCTATTTAAACTGTTGCCAAACTTTCACTTTGCTAAAAAAACAAAAAGAAAACTGAAGAAGTTACCTTAACCAGCAGCTCGTATCGAGGAATCCTCTGCACCGGCTTAATCATTAGGTCCCCCAGAGCTTGCTTCTCCTTGTTCTCACGCATGTTTTGCTTTTGGATTCAAAGGAGGGGTGAGAATTTGAAATGCAGTAAGAGGACTGGTTTGCTTTAATAGATTTGATTTGGGTGTTTTGGGTGATTATGTGCACTTATTTTAAGTGCAGAGTCATTTTAATTTGTGCCTTTAGTCCCTCATCCTCTTATCTTTTATTTATCCAGTTTTCTGTTTACTTAGTTTACCAAGTAAATATTTGTTACTTGTGTGTTTTGATGATGGCCTTTTACCTCAGGAAAGCACTTATAGAAAAATTTGTTATTGGGAATGGGCCTCTAAGTAGTTATTAAAAACTCTTATATGAGAACATTTACATGCTTCTCCTAGCAAAGATAATCTAGTGATTGTTTACAGTGTAAATTAAGTACTAGAGAATAAAAATCCTTTTAAATCTGGTCTTTGGTGAGTTTCACAACTTCACCACAAGATGGCGAATGGTTCTACTGTCAAAGCAACTGACAGGAAGCAAACCAAGATAAACACTGAGGCCAGGTAAAATACGATTTAAATGAAGGTAGGTGCAAAGAGTAGTTCTCAGTGAAACCTGCAACAGGTCTGACATTTCAAAGCTTACACTGATTTACAATATAAGCCAATAAAAAAAGAAGGAAGCTAATGAAAAGAGCAACAAACTTGATCAAACGCTCACCTCCAGAAACTTGTGAAACGCTGGCTTCGCCTCCTTGGCGATCCTCACGGCGTCTTTAGCGTTAAGAAAGTTGTCAATGTATGCCGAATACATGTCAGCCAGAGCATCTTTGGAGAACTACAGGAAGAGAAGAATCACTGATTAAAAACTGAGAACAGCATAACAGCTGTGTTGGTCTAGTGGTTAGAGCAGTGTGCATGTTCTCTGAGAAGGTTTCAAGTTGATCCCTGCACATTGGGTTCCTGAGCAAGACCCTTAACCCCCACACTGCTCCCCGGGTGCCGCACAATGGCAGCCCACTGCTCCCCAAGGGGATGGGTTAAATGCAGAGGTAGTGGCACTGTGGCTTAGTGGGTTAAAACACCTGTGTAGTAAACAGGAGATCCTGGGTGCCCAGCAGGAATCCTAGCAGTACCTTTACGGGGCCTAGTGGTAAGGGCATTGTACTTGGAACCCAGAAGTTCTGAGTTCAAGCCCCAATCCACAGACTGCCACTCTGGGTCCCAGTGCAAAGACCCTTAACTCCCCGGGCGCCGTACAACGACAGCCCACTGCTCCCCAAGGGGATGGCTTAAATGCAGAGAGTTCATTTCCTTGCTCTGTATTTGTGACAGTGTAATGACAATAAAACATTTTAAAAAACATAACAAAACATAAAACGTGCCCAAATATTTTAAGGTTAAACCAAATCTACTACAGAACAGTAATATATTAGTTTAAATATTAAGAACTGTTAAAAAAGCACTGTTACTGATATTATACTAATGTGCTGCGATGAAGGAAAATATCCTTAGGTAAATGGATTCATCTGACATTAAGAAAATGTTTAAAATATTAAAAAAAAATACATTTATTATGCAGCAAAAGAAAAAAGGACTGATTTATTTTCTTTTTTTCCAAATCAGCAAAACAAATTAGACTCCAACATGAGGAACATTGTGGCTGAAAATGTATATGCCTCACCATATCATCATTATAGAAATCAGTAAAAGAAGCATAAAAGCATTTTTTTTAATCTATATTTTAAAGATTATGTACACATGATCCATACACTTTTTCCAAAACGTCCAACACAGTAACAGGAACACAAACTAGAGAAAAAAAATGGACATCAAATTTGTAACTAGGTTAATTATGGATGTTTCTGAGAAAAAAAGAAACCTTTCAGTCAGTTTATTAATATTATATTTCTCTACTTCCTTCAACCACAGACTTGAACCAAGATGACTCAGCCTGACCTGATTTTCCCTGAGAGGGTACAGGACCAGATGGAGAGAAAGCAGAAATTGTAGCCCAGATCCAAACAGAGGGGGAGGGGAAAGGGGGCTGTTATTTAACCCGATTACATAGTAAACAGTTTTTTGTCACTCGATCAAATACGAGTTGACCCTTTCCTAATTATCTCAGATTTTCTGTTTTCCCTGTTCCCAGCCATCGTCCCCGCTGCCCCTCCTCCACACTAATTTGTTCATTCTCAAACTTCGAGAACGAACAAGCATTAGCAAAACAAAAGCCTGAGTTGTGGAGGAGCACACGAGGTAAAAAGGTGAAGTTCTTTTCCAGCTGATTTTTTTTCCCCCTCTAAATATAGTTTCCTCTGATCTTTACTTAGCTTTAATTAAGAGTGTCCACTGGTCTGAACGTTAACAGGAAGATTAAACTGCACTGCCAGAGAGTTGATAACACAATGCCTTGTGTTTAACTTCTTAATCCCCCTGATGTTTGCACACTTAATGCAGTCAAAAAAAATAAAATCTCTTTAAGCACCGACTTTCAGAATCAAAACTTGTTTGGGCATTTACTGTGCAAATATGTATCCGTTTTTAAAATTGCCTTTAAACTGACTTAATGTTTGATTAGGAAAAGTAAACGTTTTAATGTTGCTTTTTTGCTTTTATTTAAGAGTTACTTCCTTTGATTGTTGAAAAGTATCTTGTGAAAATATATTTTTTTCCCACTCATGAGCTCTACACCATATATAAATCTGTATTTAACAGAAGCACAAACAAGAAAACGGCAGTAAATGCCAGAAATAAGGGAGGGGAAAAAGAAAAGCTATGCCCCGTGTGAGGCTCGAACTCACGACCTTCAGATTATGAGACTGACGCGCTGCCTACTGCGCCAACGAGGCCTGAAGCACACTGCCGCTGCTGTGGTATAAATAGTTGGGGGAGGGCGGTGCTTGCTGAGAGAGGAGTGACACAATAGCTCCTGCTTGCGGGGGAGGAACACCGGCTCTAACCACCTACTAAAAGCACCGCTTCTACATTAACCGTCATTTTTAGAGTACATAAACAATATTTGAATTATACCTTCAAATAGTGAAATACTTCTAAGCTGCTTTTATTTAGTGTTTGACTTTAATGTCCCTCTTAGAGACCTACCCTAACATTTAGACTGACGTCAATCCTGTTGAGCAGGATTTGTTTAACATCTAGGTCTAGAGTCACCCTTAGGTCATGGGAAATTTCAGACAGGGGCACAGAGCGGCCACTGGAAAATAAGCACTGAAACTTTGCCCCATGTTGAGAGATTCTCTGTATTCCAGCTTCTTTTCATGTTAAACAATTATTAGTTCCACCGGGAATACGTGCAATTTATATCGTCCTTGCATATTCATATTCACAGCAAAAATTGCATACTACATGGATTTAAATAGACAAGCCATAGTAAAACCAAGTTAAACCATTTTTGCTGTTCCAAATGGTGTTTCAAATGGCTTTAATAGAACCCTTTCTACATATATTCCTCTTATAGCAGCACCTCACTGCTCCTGTACATGGTTCTTTGTCAGTTTTCATTAAATTAATTTCAGATCATCCTGTGATAAAGCCTTTTCACATTCCTGACAAATGGTCTGTACTTATACGTGCTTTTTCTAAGTCAGGAGACTCAGAAAAAGCCCTTTACACTATATTAGGTCATTAGGCAACGCAAGTGAAGTGTCATACTCAAGGACACAACAACAACATTGGCGTGGTGGAGGGAGGCCGGGGCTTGAACCATCAACCCTTCGATTTCATGGCCACTGTCATAAAGGGAAGTAGTTGTCAGAGAGATGTAGAAGTTTGCCCTGAAATCGAAGGGTTGACGGTTCAACCCCTGGCTTCAGCTTTTAGTGTCATCATGTTCTAGGGCAAGATACTACAACTCCATGGTCTGCTAATGGTAGACAGAGAGACTGGTGGCTCCAATGTATGGCAGCCTCGCTTCTATCACTGAGCCCAAGGACAGCTGTGGTTACAATGTAGCTTGCCACCATCTGTGTGTGCATGAATGGTTGAATGACTGAATGTAGTATACAGTGCTTTGGTCTGGCTGAATTTAAAATTGTCTATATAAGTGCAGGCCATTTCCCATTTCAACTACAAAAGGGGACACAGACACTGATCATTAGTCAGGGTCTGTAAACTGGATGGTTTGGTCAGCGGTTATTAGGTGCATGAATTATCATTTTCAATAACACAGCTTGGAGCAACTGAGCTCTAGGCTTCCAAATTCTGACCCTTAAAATAAAAATGTATGAGGTTAAGCATTCAAGCATTTTTTTATGAGTCTATAAAAGCGGTGCAATGGTAGTAACCAGCATCATATATGTGGTGTTATGTTTTTAAATATGTTTTACAGCATTGAATCGATTTATTCTCATAGCTATTTTTGGTACTTGGTATTTATTTATTTATTTATTTTCTTAAGATGATCTTAATAGCCATCACATATGCGACCCTAAGTGGGGTACCAACCCCAACTTTAGAAACAAGAGTAACAAGAGGTATTGACAGATAGGTGCTCTAATTCCTACTCACTGAATGAATGAGGAGGTGTCCAACAGTCTGCCTGTCGTGCCACTGGCTGACGCAGCCTGCAACCTGCTCCAAGAACTGTTCGTGGTGTTCCAGGATCTCTGGGATCTGATAAAACATCTCGTCCACCAGCAAAGGATCCACGATGGAGTTACCGTCCGGTTGTTTTAGAGGACGCATGTAGCCCTGTAGAATGAGAAGGACAAGTCAAGAACAGATGAGTTTAAATCATTTTAGGAGGATTGCATTAAAAATATTTATTAACAAATTAAATATCTCTCCAATCTCTACTTATACTAGGCCATAACAAATGAACATGCTAGAAAAGGTACATTTTTTATATCTGATGCTGTTCTGGGAGTGGAGCTAATAAAGTTATCGCTATCAATGCCAGCATGTAGATCATTGGACAACACCATGCTGGTTTGGTCCTTTTATTTAACATCTGGTTTAGCCTCATCTTATAGCACTGTGAGTTGCAAGCAGTACGATGAATATGGGAATAAATACAACATGACCAATCATAGTGAGGCCGCTTTCAAAAGAGTCAATTTGCTTCCAGTTTAGGACCTCAAGTAAAAATGCACCAGGGACAATTTAGAAAAAAGAAAAAAAAAAGGAAATTCAGAGAAACATAAAAACAAAAGAAAAAAACAAATACGAGTCATTTAAGGGATTTTAGCAATTTTGCAGTGTGGCTTTTAACATCTAGCAATTTTTTATTTTATCCTTTTATTCCCTTTTATCTTTTACCCACGTTTTAGCTGTTTTGTAACTATTTTGCTCTTTAGGGACAGCTGGTGAGGTTAATTAAAGCTACAGTGTGTAGCTTTTAGCGACATCTAGCGGTCAGACTGCAGACTGCAGCAACACGAACATCTCCCCCCCACTGCTTCTCCCCCCCAACAGTACGGCGAGCGTTACGGGACAAAATGTCTTCCAACACGTCCGCATCACCTACCTTCTCAAGTGATGAGGTTTGTTTACATAGATAATTTTACAGATAGTATTTCATTAGTCTGTGTAGGGTATAGATTTCATGTAGACTTAAGATAATAAATATACCCGTTATTTTTTCTACATCGTTGTGACGTTTTGGCGATCTCGCAATCGCTAGTTTGTTGGCTCTGCGCTGCCGTAGCGCAAAGATGTCTGCCTCCATGGCTGCAAGACCCGCTCCTATGTAATTATAAATAACGGATTCTAAGGCAACGCAAATATTAAGGTTAAGAGGCTGAGCTCATAGATGATGATAAATAACATAGTTATGTATAATATATTACATTTCTGACTGTATATCCCTGTAATTATTACACACTGTAGCTTTAATAATTCATTTTAATTTTTTTACCAAATTTAATGACTTTTTTCCTCCAGCCTTTCCAGACACACATCGAAAAACTGCTGTTTTTATGCAGAGAACAAATTATGTGGACTCCCTTGACTACTCAGGAGTAGAGACAGACCAATGCTGATTTTTCAAGCAATTTTTTACTTCCTCTGTTTACGTTACACAACTTAAAAAAGAAACACTAACAATTTAAACAAAACAATAACAATGCATAGAAAACAGAGGGAGCAGCAAGGCATCACCTGCTCTCAATGGATAGCTGCTGAATGCACTGATTAATCGGCAAACACACACTCCAATCTGCTCATGCCAATACAGGGAACCAGGTTAATATCAGCCAGCGGATGTATAATACCCCAAGGAGCTCAATTTAATATAAATACAGGAAAAAACCTACTTAGGCCCTATCTTTAGAAAATGGTAAGAAACAAGGCTATCTCAGTACCAATATGTTCTAGCAGGGGTAGAGTTGTTTCACTTTTAAGGTTGATTTTAGTACAAACTGGGTTTCATTTAGTCAGGATCAGGAATGAAAACTTTAAAATCATCATCCTCAACTCAGATTTTTTTTGTCCACTATTACTTTTAATCAGAGTATGAGCTGTTTAGCGATAGATCACCTCCACAACTTGATCAAGATTTCGTTAAATAATGTTGCCCTTTATGTCTCCCGCTTTTTAGCGATTGCAGTCTAATGAGAGTGAGTCAGAGACTCAGACCCACGCTGCGAACCATTAAACATGAGAGAATTTAGGAAATTCAGTTTAGGCAGAAGTGGACTTAGCAGGATATGATCTCCTGGCTTCAGAAACAGAAGCTTACTGCCTGGGCCTTATGATAGCTTATGACTAATTCAATCTGCAGTTTACTCCATTTGATATGAAGACAGGTGAAACAAAGACGGGTCTGAGGGTCTCTTCAATGAGGCACTGATTCAGCTTGGGCTTTTTTAGTACGCATAAGATCTCAGTATTTTACAGGAATTTCCAGATGCAATAATGAGAAAAAAGATAAAGTTGTGTGGCCTTTAACAAGGTTTTCATGAGTCATGTTATGAAACGGCAAACTAAGTCCTCCTTTAACTCTTTATTAAACACAAACTGTGAAATGTGTTTTAACATGATTTGATCCATGTAACTTTTCTTCTGGGCAGCAATTACAGTAAATGCACCAAAATTTACTACATCTTCTCACCCAGGTTTTGCAGAAGCTAGCTGTTCCTTTCTAGATTTATGTTGCAAATAGCACTATATGCATGCAGACACATACACTTCCAATGTAGTTTATTCAAAAGAAGGCGACACATTGTATTTCTATTCGTGCAATGAAAACGAGGGAGAATACTTTTTTTTTTTTTTTTTTTTTTTAGAACTGAGCTGAAAAACTAAAACATGTAACTATTTAAGAGACCATCTGATTGCCTTAGGAAAGAATCATGCTCAGTATTTAGGTTTAAGCTCATTCTAATACACAACTAATTTTAAATGTTTTTATAATTCACCAACAACATGTGCTGATTTATCCAAGTTTCAAAATAAACCTTCTTTGACTTTTAATTATAGATATGAACTAAGGCTAAACTTCCTATAAACACATCTATCTTTAACTATTAATAGAATAGAAATATCCTATATTGTGACAAAGTGGGGAAATTCAACTCTGTATCCTTTACACAGACTAAACCTTTTATTCCTCACAGATCTGTTTGCCTGTTTTACTTCACTTATACGTTAAACTGCAAAATCCGCTACAATAACAGCTGCAGTTCAATATATATTTAATTAAGTATTAGCTCCAGTAGAAAGTTTCTTTTTCAGTTTCTATCAAATTAATGTAATCCTCCTGGAATAAAACTTTAATTAAAATGGTAAAAGAGAACATTATATTAGCAGACTATAGTAGGGAACTGTACAAATTATAAGTGCTGAGGTGGCTGGTTATAAGCTGTGGATTTGTCATTTTCGGTTTAGTAGAATCAGGAGCTTCCAGTGTTTAATTGTTTTTTGTTATTATTATTAATGCCAGGAAAAAACGTAGGAAGCGATCAAAATGCCACAACGTTGGAACATAAAAAGGTCTAAATGCTGAAAAAGATTGCAGATTGGTGACACAGTGACTGGTTAGGAGGAAGAATTTGGTGATCTAATGAGAAATCTGGAAATAAATGGTGTTTGGGGTGCAATGTTAGTGGAATTGTTAGCGACTACGCATCACCACATAGATTGTCTTTCCTTTAACCCCCTACCCGGTCTCAATTCATTCCGGTTCAAACTGTTATTTCTTTCTGTTCTCTTTGTATACCTTAAAGAAAATGTAAGTGGATGCTAAATAAGGCAAAGATAAAATCCTTACAATTTTAGCTTTAAAGTTCATTAGCAAACTGTGAATTGGCAAACCATTATAACTGTTTTATTAATATGTCTGTCAGTAAAAGACCTGCAACAAGTGACATATGTGCAAACTGACCATTTATCTGAGAAACCAGAAAAGAACGTCAAGGTAAACAAAAAATAATGGATGTATTTTTAAAAACAAGATTTTTGCAATTACATTTTAAACACAGCAATTAAATTCAGTAAAATCACATAGGCTGGCTTTAGAATTAAGTATATTTTACTATTTTTTAAAGTTATAGTGGTCCAGATTCCAGCCCCGGGATCAGCAATCTGCGCCTCTGCAGGAGGATCCACAGAGCCAAGGGCTTTTATTATTGGCCAAAATGATGAAGAACCAACAAATGAAAAACAGCATAACATCAAAAGCCAGTCTTGGAAGCTTTAGCAGCTAATTTTTATGACAGAGTATCATTAAAGAAACAATTTATATGTTTCTAAACCAATTGTTCTTATTGTTTCTGGGAAATTATGTGAGAGTTTTTATACATAATTTCAAGCATCCCATAAAAAAAATACATGCTTCGTCTTGCATGTATTTTTTTTTTTCTAAAAACATTGCAAATATTTATCCCTAATAATATTTTGTATATAATCAAAAGGCCATGTAATTTATGGCTATGACTTCTTTTTAGCAGGACTAGGGGCAAAATGACTCTGATTTGAAAGGTTGCAGACTCCTGGTTTAGATCCTCCTGCATTTTTTTTAAAGTACAAAGTTTCAGCCTAATTTCAAGGGGGAAAAATATAATAAAATAAATGCAAGAAATTAGAATCAAAGTTTAAAAAGAGCAGCAGCTTTGATAAGCTGGTTTCAGCTCAGGTGAAGACAGACATCTGAGCCAATCACTGCCAACTACAGTGTTCCAACTCAAAAGTTTTTCAAACAGCCCTCAAATACAGTAAATCCACGGGGTCATATTTCAACCCTGGCTGAGCGCCGCTGCAGAGTGGTCTGCGCTGAAGCACATCAGACCCCCCCCACCCCTCAAGGATCTGCGCTGTCTCTGCAGTCTCCGTGGTAACGCTTCTTTTTTCCCCCAGTGTCGTCATGGGAACACAGCTGAGGATTATTCACTTTGTGGCCACACACAAACTGAGAAATACATGAGTAAGAAGAGCACAGTCAGCGTGCATGTGTGATGTAACAACGCTCACACGCACACTGCAGCCAGGCGGCACAACTGGGTGATCAACGTTAAAAAATGGGAATCTGTGAGTGTGTGACTGCTCTGGAGGGATGGAGGAAGATTTGGGGTAAAGGTTAGTCAGTTATTAGAGCGCAGACGGGTGTGGGATATACAGGAGTGGTTATGCTTATACGTGTGTGTGTACGTGGGCAGATACTGCTGATGACAGTGAGTTGTGATAAGCATAGCAGATAATCCTGCCCAGATGAATGACAGTAAGTGGATTATATAACACCTTTGCTACCTACATATGTTATTCAATGCCTCTGTGCTCAGAGTTTACAAAACGCTTGTTAGTTTCTGCCTTTTATGTGTACATGGTGATGTGTTTGTGAGTGAAGAAAGATGGTTTATGAGAGAAGGAGAACCTGCAGATGAGGGGGTGTTTGAGAGCGTCACCTGAATAAGAGTGCGTAGAGATTCCACGTATGACTGCTCGGTGTCCAGGAGGGTCATCATTACATGTCTCCTCATGTCCTACAAAGACAAAGGAAACAAGAGGGATACATGAAGATTGATCACTGAATTTATTTCAGACTGTGGCATGCAGACAATTAAACATTGTGAAATGATAAAAAAAAAAACATTTCAAGGTTGTTCTCCAAATATACATAAAATCTCTCAATAAAAATAAAATATTGTATAAAAATAAAACATGTATAATATCAAATCTTTGAGGGAAAAAAATCTAATTTCAGGTTTTCATAAATACTCGGTTAAAAAAAGGTTTATATAACTGCCATTAATATACTTTGACATGTAATCATAACCATCTTTCTGAGAAATCAAAGATGTTTGCTGTTTTTTCACTGTTCCTAAGGTCAGAATAGGTCAGCTAAAGAGCTTTTTTCTCTCTGGCTGCAGTATTGAGTAGCGCACTGTGCCCCTTCCCCTACCTGTTGTCAAGCCCTGCTGGTCAGCGAACTGAAAGAAGCTATTGCTACTGTTGTTCACTAACAACAAAAAGCCATATATTTGTGCAAATTTCCCTGTAAATGTAAACACAGACTGACACGATACGAGAAGTAAAGCACATCCACCTATCAGTCTGGGAAACTAAATAAGGCAGATAATTTTAAGTAGGCTACCTGAGCCTAAACTATACTTATTTATCAGCTAATAACAAGTTTGTCATTCCTTTAACTCTATGAAATACAAACTAAATATCAAGATATAACCCTTCAAATAAAACAACCAACAAAACTAAGGGATATAATCAATAATTTTGGCATCCAAAATCAATACATTAGCATAAAGATTTAATATAGCAATTCAGTTTAAAGTAAAAACGAATGAGATCAAGTTCTACATTTTTGTTGGAAAAAGTTGTTGAAATGTTTTAAAACTGTAGTATGTCTATTCAAGGTTTATAACAGCATGGCATCTGGTTTTCTGCAGCTTTCTAACAAATGTGCGTGTTTTAAATAGTTAAACTTGAAGGAATTTTGAAATAGAATAAAAGACTCCAAACACATCTTAATGGTGCTTGATACAGACAGCAAGACATCACAAACTGCAAAGTGTCTGTTTGGAAAGAGACGGAAAAGTCTCTTACAGTTTTTGGCATCTATAAAAGCAGCTGTAAAGTCTGCACTCTATAAAACTGCTCAAGTATTACCAAAGTTTCTTTTCAGAGTAATTCCTCTCCAGTTTATTTTAACCAGTACTTGTAAACGGCCCTTCTTAAAATTCCGAACAAAAGGAATAAAAACAATGCTGCGGTTGACTCCTGCCTTGCCCCACAGAGACAAAACCAAGTTGTTCTTTAACACAATGCAAGTTCCATTTGCTTTACTTTGTTTATAATATAAGGGAAATTATTTTATCTCCCTTCAGCAGAATATTCAACCTCAATCCAGGATGAATGCATTGCTTTATTTTATCGGCTTCATGGGGAAGAGACAGCAGCAGAAACTAAGCTAAAGCCAAAAAAACACCAATTACTGATGATGAAAGGCATGAAATCCTCACCAGAAAAACCTGACTCAGCTAAACATCCTCGGACTGACTCAAGATGAGACGTGGATGAAAGCAAAAACCTGCTCCAACATACCGGCAGCAGGAAGGAAATAAGAATGAAAAATAGGAAGGCGACAAGATAAAGAAAGGAACGCAGGAAGTTCAAGAGAACAAGAAATATTAAGCTGGCCTCATATCATCTCTATATTTTTCATATTGTACTTAAAATGCTTTTTTACTTTATTTGCAAATATACCATAATGTGAGATTTGATTCCAATTCCAACATTTACAGGAATAATTCTCTATTTTTAGTGATAACTTTACATTGTGCTGAGTAGAAGAGTCCTGTTAAAAAGTTAAGGATACCCTAGAGTTATTTAAAGTTTTAAAGTTATGGCAAGTCTACTCAGACCTAATATGACAAACCTGACAAGGAGCACAAAATCTGGAGAAGCAGTAAAGATGCCCCTGAAAATTAGAGGAGATGCAGAGAGCCACAGTTCAGGAGGGAGAATCTGTTGACAGGACATAAAGAAAACCTCCAATGACAGAAATTAGTCAGGGGTCCCAATAACAGAGATATGTGAAAGACGGTGCCCTTGTCTTATATATTAAATAATTGCAACTTTCTGGCCTACATGTGAAAGAGAAATAAGAGTAAAAATCATCCAGATTAGACATTTCCCCGAATTTAAAAACATAGTGTTTTTCAGCATCATGCTTGGGGGATTGGTTTGTGAGAGCAGGGAGAAGGAAGATGTCCATTGTTGATTACAAAATTGAGGCCATTAAATACTCAGCAAACTGAGAAGAAACCTGTTTTGAGTCCAAACTGAATGACCTTGGGGTATTATGCCAAAATTGATCAGAACTTTTAGTCTCTAAATGTGCAAAGCCCGTAAAGCAAAGACTCACCCCCTGTAAGACTTGAAAGTTGAACTCAAAAGTACCAAAGCAAAAATACCATTATATAAAATTCTTTCCCACAGAGACAGCAAAAAAACCAATGTTGTATTGTACCTATGTTATTTTACCTTCTTTAAAAAAAAAAATCCACTACTTTGTGTTGGTCTATGAAATAAAACCCAAGGAATATAAACAGATTTTTATTTTTGTAACCTGACAAAATAGGAAAAAAAATAGCCTGGTCTTCTATGACAATGTACATTACCCAGAATTTGAACATCTCCAATTGACACTTTTCTATCAATGTAACACCCATTGAAGAAAATTTGATTAGATGTTTTTATTCAAATGCTACAAACTTCCAACCAAGGAAATTGCACTGTTTAAAAATCCCAGAGGTGAGAATATTCTTCATTGATATAATAGAAGTAGCAGTCTCTGTATCATAGTTTTTCTACTTTTTAAAAATCAACTGATCACTAACAGTGCAATGCATCCCTTCCTCTTCTGTGATGAAGCTGATTGTATTGTTTATGTTTCATTTAGACTGGTGAGAACAGCAAGGGGGGTCTAAAGAACATGGAACATGTCAGACGTATAATCTAGGGGGAGGATCTCTGGGGAGGTTCCCAAAATATTCTGGTACCAAACAGGACATAAATATCAGTGGGAGCCACAGGCAGAACCCTGTGGTGCTTCTACAACCACAGCAGCTCTTTCTCCCTTTAGCCGTCTTAGAAAGAGAGGTCGCATATAAATACGCGCCCCCCCCACCTCTTTGCCTGCTTCACTCTGCCAGCAGCACTGTGCCCTATAAATAACCTTAACAATAACTTCCCAGAAAGGGTATGTTTAGAGTTTGGCAACCGATGAGGTCCCAGCGGCTCTGTGGGGTTCCAAAGGAGGCCGAAAGGTGGTGTTTGGATGGGAGGAATGTGTATCGTTTTGGGTGAGGGGGGCTGTGAGTGAGAAAATTATTGTTTTCAGCAGAGTAGAGAGTATCTAACAGTTTTGTTTGTTATTTATATTAATTTGCATCCAGTATCCCTTCTGTAAAAAATAGTTTTCTTTAGATTAATGTTTGCATTGTTCTGTTTACGCCTGTCACATCGACACAAACATACAGAGAAGGAAATAATAACAGAACTAAACAAGGCTGCCAACCACACAATGGAGAGTAACCATCATCCCTTTATTTTCCATAATTACCCTGCAACAGGGGAATGACTGACAATACTTTGGTATACTACAGTAGATAAAACAATCAGTAGGACCAGCATCAGATGTCCTCCATAATCTGTGACGGTTTGTTTGAGATCTGTCACCAAAAACACTTTTCTTATCACAGATATCCCTCTCAGATGTTTTAACACATGTAAATACTCAGTTATAAGAAGTTATTGAAAGTAAAAAAAATATATACTTATATCTGGCGACTGGAAGAACTTGAGGAAAGAAAACATTTTGTGAATTGGTGATGAAAATTTGAAGTAGTACCCGGTAGTCATAAACAATTGTATATTGTCTGCGAGAAAAAAATTTGAGTGGTAGTATGAAGGTCTGGGGATGCTTTAGGCTGCTGAAGTGGACAGAGCCAAGATTTCTGTTCCTTAACCGGAAATCCTGAAGAGATTGTACCTCCCATCAATTTGTAACTTCAGCCTCAACGGGCACCAAAATGTGTGGTTCTGTAAATGGACATGAATGTTGGGAAGTGGTTAAGTCTAAACTATGATCTGTTTTGAGATTCTGTGATATTAACTTAGACTGTTCATGCTTCAAAACTCTCAGATGTGACTTATTTAACATGTTCTACAAACAAACGCAGGTCAAAATTCCCCAAAAGCTGTGCTAAATGCTGATATATCCTAAGTGCTTGAAGTTGAATGTTTCCCCTAAAAGGTGAGACAAGAAAATTATATTTTTCTACAACACTGAATCTACTTCCAGATACATTTACACAAAAAACTATTATACTTTGTGAGGCTTTCCAATGACTTTTATTAATTTCTAATCTATTTTTATGGCCCAGCCATCACCCTTACCATTAACCTAACCATAACGCGTTCATACATAACCGTAAACCCAACCTAAACTTAAATCACACCTTAGTATTAAACCTTACACCTACTGTAACCCTAAAACAGTGTTTGAAACCATGCTGAGCAGGCATTGGTCCCTAAGAGGAGCATTCGGCCTCCACAATTTGGTATTATTTATGGAACAGGGCCCTTACAATGCAAACGCCAATACGCATGTTCACATACACACATACATGTATGCACAGGGGGGATCAATTTTTATATTTTGAAGAATCAGGAATGTTCCTCCCTCAATGACTAGAATGGACCCAAGTTTCTAATTGTTATTCCTAGTTTTATTGATTTCCCAATCCAATATCGGTTCAATATCAGGTACTGTTCTTAAATGTTTTGGAAGGCCTTATAAAAATAAATACTGACATGGTAATAAAAACACAATGCTTCTGTCTAAAGTTTATGTAATCTGTTGGTTAATAATAAATAGGTCTGTTGTTCTCATACCCATTGTTGTTGACTAATGTTTTGAGTAATATCACTTGATTAAACATTTTCTAACATGCCACACTAG